TTTTTTAATGTTAAAACCAACTTGGTATTCCCAAGAGAAGAATTTTCGCTGCAGTTCCTACTGCCTACAAGCATACTGTACTTCTCAACTTCATTCTTCACGAGTCAACTTGGTCTCTCTGAGGAAAACAGAAGATCTGTTCCTGGCTTAGCACAATTAAGTGCCTCTACTGGAGATTTGCATGCCTAAACAAGAATTTACAAGTAGACAAAAGTTTTAAACAGAGCTCTACCTTCAAAATTGAAAGTGAAAAATAAAGGCATCTTATAGATGCAAATAGAGGCAAAGCTATTTAAGCTGCTTATTGCACTGAAAACAAACTAACACATTCAAATACAAGTCACAGAATTTGCTAATAGGAATACGGCATGAATGTTAAAACCAACTTGGTATTCCCAAGAGAAGAATTTTCGCTGCAGTTCCTACTGCCTACAAGCATACTGTACTTCTCAACTTCATTCTTCACGAGTCAACTTGGTCTCTCTGAGGAAAACAGAAGATCTGTTCCTGGCTTAGCACAATTAAGTGCCTCTACTGGAGATTCGCATGCCTAAACAAGAATTTACAAGTAGACAAAAGTTTTAAACAGAGCTCTACCTTCAAAATTGAAAGTGAAAAATAAAGGCATCTTATAGATGCAAATAGAGGCAAAGCTATTTAAGCTGCTTATTGCACTGAAAACAAACTAACACATTCAAATACAAGTCACAGAATTTGCTAATAGGAATACGGCATGTGCATCCCATTCCACATGTCATGTGCTGATATTAAAATATGTTTTATTAACAAGTATGGCTGTAGCCATTGTATGGCTTTAGCCATTAGTAGTCTACTTACACACTTGCCCTATTCCACACCCTAGTTAAAGGCCACAAAATGCCAATTTGCAAAGAAAAAACTGCCATGCAGTTCATCAGGCATAAATAAGCAACTATAGCCAACACACTCACCAAATTTTGCTAGCATTCTCTCCTCTCAGCATAAAACCATTCTCTACTTTGATAGACATTTGAAAGAACAGATTGAAAAAAACACTGACAATCAAAATCCACATTCCACAAATTTCTCTGTCCCACAACACGTCAGCTTTCCATTATGGCCTAAACTACAATATTTTCACATAACTTTCCAGTGTTTCTTAGTCCTTCAAGAGCTACTTCATAAAATACTCAAGTAGAAGTATTGAGGGAAAACACTTCAATGAAAGGAAGCAGAGACAAAACGACAGAAGAGTTATAGTTGTAGGACACATCCAATTGTAAACACAGAATGCTAAAGCATTCAAACACGAGAGGGAATTAAGATGACAGCTTCGATCAAATAAATGTCCTGTTGAAAGCCTAACTACAGTGACAGTTACTATGTTTATGTGCCAGTGAGAGACCAGCCATTAGAAACGGCACTGTATGAGCTGAAACAGGCATGACAGATCAGGACTAGTAGGTCCTAAGTTGTTCTTCCAAAATGTTCATCTGGATACAAGTTTTGCCACCTCAAATTTATTAACTAAGCCATTTTGAGCAGGATTCATTTCTTCTAAATACAGTCTTAGCTATTTCACTTACAGAAGAAAAACAAGCAAACAAACAAAAGAACATACAGGCACCTACAAACTGTCTAGACTAGTTTTCTAGACTAACATCTCTAGCATTTGGTTCCCCACCACCACCACCTTCCTCCTTCACGGGCACAGAGGACTCCCAAACAGCATTAGCTGTTGGTGTTAGATTAGAGAGCTTTTACACTTACAAGCTGGAACTTTTTTTTTCCCCCCCCCCTCTTTCTCCAGAAAATATAATTTTTGAAACAAGCCAAGGACAAGAAATCCAAAAGAAACAACGAAAGCAGAGCGTTAGTAAAATAAATGACTAGATATATTTTTTTAAAACTTAATTGCCCTCAAAGCTTGAACATATTCAATGGCGAGGAAATAATTCTTTCACAAGGATTTGATATGGGCTAAGTTTGCCAACACTGCTGATGTGATGCTGAACCTGCAAGATTACTATCAGTAACTGAAGGACAGGATTACATCCAATGTTTTCTAGATTCTTCCTTCCTTTAGTCTCCTGAATGAAGCATGCTCTGACAAATAAACAGGCTTATTTCCCAACAAATCATCGTTCATGTCACCTTTCAACAAGATGCCGCCCAAAAAAGTTCTCGACTGTGAATCAAAACTCAAAAGAACCTTATCTTTCAAATGATGAAACAGGTAGACCATAATGGGAGCATACCTAATATATCACAAGAAAAAAAAAATAACACAGTTTCATGCAAAACCAGAGAAGCGTCATACATTAAGATAGGTCTCTATTTTACTGATATGAAAACAAAGGGGATCTTTCTCATCACAGCCATTCTCCTACCATGTGTAAACACAGCACATAAAACCCCTCATAAATATATAACTTCCAACTCAAAGTTATCTTCATTTTTACTCCTTCTACTAGCATGTTATCTGAAATATCTAATTCAGACTGAAAATCAGTACAAAAACTATTTCAGTTGCTTCACACTCATTTGTTCTTGCATCAGTAGCTAACCTTTTCACCACATATTCCCCCAACCCTGATGGTTACTCCCTGGCCCAAGTTTATTTACAGAGAAGAGTTATATTCCCTCTTTGCCTTCCTATTGCAAAGGTAAACAGAGTCAGCTTTTTAAGCTTCCTTTCATAAGCCTGCTCGCCACTAGAGACTGAAGAACCTAAATAAAAGAATCAGAACAATAAATAAAGAGGATGTTATCACTCTCTTAATCCATATTAGGGATGCTATTAAACTTCAATATTACCAAATTGAAAAAGGATTTAAATATTTTGTCAGCAAGTTCCCCACAGTAAAATGAATCCCTGTGTTCATCATTCTGTTGCACTAATTAAACAGTTTTAACTGAAATGGTCAGAAAATCGGCATAAGCTGTTTATCGCTGCTGGCCTTTGAGCTGCAAGATACTCCAAGGATGTGCTACTTTAAGATGTGATAATTACTGAGTTCTTATACTTTTACTGAGGAGGCAGAGAAGAACTCCAACAGAGAATTTCACATTAATCAGCGTTAACAGGGCACTTAATAAAGACATGATTATAATAGAAGAACATTTATTCGGTCCAACATTTGTAGGTGCAAATTCCAAGAACTGCTTAAATTGATATCAAAGTTTAGCCTCAGCTCTGAGACCTCTCAGTCTCAGTAAAGACTACCTTTTAGAAAAGAATATGACAGCGACAGAGTTTTAACCTGATCTATTTGATACAAACTCTGATTTGCAGAGTACACCTCCTACAGTATATCTGATCACAATTAGACATTTTTAGATACAAGGGGCTCCCGTAACGTTCCGCGATTACACCTGCTGTCAGTGAAACAATGAGCTTTACTAGTGAAAAACGGAATAAATAAAAATGGAGCACAACTGTTATTGTACCTTATGGCATTTTATAGTTACTAACTACTTATTTATATTTAGACTCTGCAGGCACCACGCTGAGTAGCTGAGCAATACAGACAAGACAGGGCTTGGTCCCCAAGAAGCTGGCACTGCAAAGTATCAGCATGCTCAAAATCTGCCCAGAAAACACACTCATATCCTAACAGCTGCAAGTAGCACCTAAGTAGCTAAAAACACCTAATAATCACAGTGAGGAGTTTTACTGTCTGATATCACCATGACCCAAACAAGCATTAAACTTGCAGCATTTTTTCCTCTAGCACAGATTGTCTAAGCATTTAAAACATGGGTCAGATGGGTCAGTCTTAATTACTGCCTATCAATCTTATTATTTTTCATGTTTAAAGAAGATGGCTAAAAAATAATCTCAGAAATGACAATCAGAGAAATGTGTTAAACCAGTGAAACATTCACTAGAATGCCAGGCCAAGCAGCAGTAATAGAAATTGTACATTTTCTAGAAAACCTTTTACTCAGTATCCTAAGAACTGACCACCTTTTTCTCCTATGTCACAAGTAACCAAACACAAGTCTCTCCAACATCTGAATTTTGGAAGTGTTTAATAAAACAAATTAAATGACCTCTTCTGGAGACACAAAGAGTTAGCAGTAGCAAGATACAAGAAACGCTATACCCTAAGTCAGAAAACTATCTTAACAGCAACTACAGACAAACTCTTCCCTGCTTATTTGCACTACATCTAATACGCAGCTGGCAGCCTAGGGCTGAGCTACCTAGCCATTCTTTTCTGTAAGAAAAGTTTACCAGTAAGTTATATGAAACCCAATCCTTTTCTCCCTCTTACCTCACACTAAGCGATACTACTATATCGAGTATCAAGTTCTGTACAAGCTGCAACTGATAACTAAGGCAACTCTCCACAAACAACACTTCGTCCAGTTGCAAAGCAAAGACTTCAGTCACCAAGCTGTTTTATTGGAAAGTCATTAACTAAGCCACAGGCACATATTTAGCACAAAGGTACTTTTATCACTTCATTGAGTAATTAAGAAATAAGGACCTTGAGAGTGAGAAAGAAAAAAAAAATCACAACACACACGCACACACACACGATAGCACATTCCTACACAGGACAGAAGCAGTTACAAAGGTATAAGATGGACAACGCTAAAAAATTAAGAGTGAAGAGTCTCAAAGCATGCTGCTACTGACCCTTAGACACACACATTTTAGGAAGCATGCTGCCCTAATAACTACTTCCACCATAAAACTCGCTCCACAGTGACTCAATACTGACAGCAATGCATGAGCAAGATAAATATACTTTAAACAGAAATTCCGATCTTAAGTCTTTTATATCATAATCCATACTAGTTTGATATTTAATGTGGACTTCCCCCATTCACCTTTTGCTGTACTACATATCAAGCCACCACATGGTACATTACACATTGCTACCTAAACACACCGCCATGTTAAAAGCAGTTCAGTGTGATCCAAGGGTAGGGTAGCATCACATGAAAATTACATTGAGGGAAGACCATAATGGCAGAAAGCAACGTTTAGGGACTAAAGAGATACTTACATCTGGATATTCTTTTACAGGCACATATAGTTTCTCTTGTAACTGTACAATAGGTCCCACAGCATCTGGTAATTCTGCACTTCTCTTCTCCGTACTACCATTTAACGTGTCGTTGTACATGTCTTTCCGTACTCTGCTAATTTCTGTGGGGGAAAAAAAACATATTAGATATACACGGTAACAGTTTATAATCTTATGAGACAGTCACCTCTTCCTAATATTTCCCAAATCTTAACACCATTTCCTTCCATTCTTCATGAGCATTATGGTAATAAAAACAAAAATGGTATTGAGCAGGGGGGTTGGAATAGATGATCTCTAGAGGTCCCTTCCAACCTCAACCACTCTGTGATTCTGTGTATTACATTGTGAGACCATCATAAGTGGTCTTGAAATTTGCTGCTTATGTATCCTGTTTATGAAAATCCACTATTCAAGTAAATATTATCTGCAACTTCTTCAAATGGTCAAAAATGTTGCTAAAAAGAAAAAAAAATGTACCTAACATTTATAAAAAAAAATAAATACACACAAAATGTATATATGTATACACATACACACACATATTTGCTAGCTACAAGATCAACCATCTGGAAAGGCAATGGTGCATCTTTCAGCAATGAAAAACCTGACAGCTCAAAGGAGGAGTTATTGACTGCACAGGGTAACAAATAGTAAATACTGTTTTAATGACCGTTTCTACTCTGATAATGAAAAAAGCGCAACCATGACAGAGAACTCGGGCAGTTTTATTGAATAATTTTATATGTGTAAGCATGTATGTATATTTTATGATGTGTGCATGCAGATATATACAAATATTTACATATGCACACACACCTCAGTAATTTTAAGCCCACTGTAACAAGAAACACAGCAATGACAAACATGTGTGGTAGGCATCAGCTCAGCTCTAGAAGGGGTTAGTGGCTACAAGCAGTTGGCATCACTGCAATACTTGAACTCTCTCATGTAGACTAAGTCCTAGGAAAACCAAACCAGCTCTACACACAACTAAAATGCACACTAAGATTTGTCAGCCAAGACCTGATACTACGTTGAAGAAGATGAATTGCAGCAATAGTCATGTGAAAGTGTATGATAAACTAATAAGCTTGTGACTACTAGTCCCTAAAAAGTCAGCTATGAACGACAGTAGTCCAGTTCTGACCAAGATCACTGATCTGTCAAAGTTCTGCTTATAAAGAAATAGGGACAAGCATGAACTACACAGCTCTGTTTCATCCCTTCTCTTTCCATTACACTGGTCCGATAAGTCGCGCCCAGCAGTGAAATTGCAATGAGCGCATCGGTGCTTCCTCTCTGAACACCTTGAGCTGCAGAGATGACAAGACTCACTGAACCAGCTGACATAACAGTTCTTAGAAAGTGTCTGTGGTTGTCTCAGATTAGAATGATGAAAGTTACACTTGCTACTAAATATGTGGACAGAATTGCAACAATAAAGCACAAATGCACCTGCAAGGAAAATGTTCACTTCCACCTTTCCACATCCATCCCTAGAATTTTCTTGGATATTTTTTCAGGGCTTCCAACATTACATGGGAGTGCCACACTCTTCTCTTTGCATGTCAACCCCCCCACCACCACCTCCCTTCCCCCATACAAGCAGGTAAAAGTTGTTTGCACCAATCTACAAAAAGTCTGGAGTAACCAAATAATTAACCATGTAAGGAGGAATTAAAGAACAGATATCGATGCAAGACAAGAAAATCAATCATACAAATGACAAAACCATAATTAAACACTAGTGAAAGTAACTTTTACATAATTACTCAACTTGGAGGAAAATATGGCTGGATCTAAAGAAGCATTTAGCCTTCAGATTTCTGATTTATCCAATCTAAAACCAAGATCACTATATAGACTTTCATGTGTTTGTGTGTGAAGTGAAGGCTCATTAAATTATCATTTTTTAATTTTTTCTTTTCTTTTCTTTTTCTTTTCTTTTTTTTTTTTTTAAAAACCCTTCTTCCCAACACTGTCAACTTACAGAGCTTCTCACCCAGTTCACAGGTTTTCGTATTATTTTATTGTAAATTAATAAAAAAAAAATCCACAGCATCACCAGGGAATACCATAAGCAGATTTGTAAGCACAGTTTCTACAAATTACACTGCATTACACATCTTGAGATACTACACATCTCCATAGATGTATATGGATGCGCGTATCTCCACATATGCATCTCCAGTGCTTAGAGCAGTTATAAACACAGTAATTAAATATAGATTAAATGATTCAAATCCAGATAATTTTCAACCTAAAACAAGAACAGTTTTCTCTTTTTTAACCAAAACCCATATCAAGACCTTATATTTCATTCCTAAAAATGAAAGCATTTAAATTACCACTATAATTTTTTTAAAAAAGTTCAACAAAACGCTAAGTTAGCATAAAAAACTCTCAACTTATTCCAATATATATGAAAAACTACTTTAAATTAACCTATTATTAAAGTTCCGAACTGAACTCTACCATTTCCACAGGCTTTGTTAACAAAGCACCAACTTAAACTTTATGAGAGCATGGGCTGTAAATTAAAAATAGAAACCAATTTAGTCTTTTATTTAGACTTGTTAGAACTACTTTGGAAATGTGCAAAATTAAAATGAAACTCAAAACAGAAATGTTTTAATTTGACCACACAAAGTTACGCAGATGAGAAGTCACCTTAAACTCCAGTAACAAGCAAGAGATTAAAAGATTCTCCTGCTTCATAATCACAGGGGTTTTTTTCTGCAAAATGATTTATAGCAGAGATTCCATCACATGAAAGCTGGTGAATAACGAGGCTTCAGATTTGATGAATAATTTTTTGAAATGGAACAGACTTATCTTAACTGAGTTCTTCTAAATCTGTCTAATGAACTTATTCTGTATATTCAAGAAGTTATTTCTCTGCTGGGAACCGATATACACAGTCATGTAGGCTATAGAACAATGCATTATAGAGCATAGGCATTATGCTCTATATAGCGTATATAGAGCAAGGCATTAACACCTGCTTAGAATGAAGAACACAGATTTTGGTCATCATGTAATGATAATCCAAAAACAAACAAACAAAAAAAACCATTGCTTTTCTTCCATGCATGCTGGCTGTTTTGGCAACTAGCACAAATCCTCTGAACTGCAAGCAACATTTATACTGGCTTCAATATCTAAAGAAATTCCTCAGCACGTCTTTTTGAACAAATATTATTATCTTTTGGAGGACTTTATTTCCTTTTCACTTTAGATTTTCCATTAACTTACATTCTACCAAAACATAAACTAGGTAGTCTACTGAAGTCCTCAAGCATAAATGAGATACAGTCACTTTTAGTTATATTTGGCAGCTACAAGAGTTGCATTAAGAATTTCATTTTAAATTGCATCAGTCTTATATAAACACTAACTCTAGATGTCTTGGATTTCATAGGAAAAAAGAAATCTGTTTAAACTTTCCTTTAAATTCCTTGCAAATATGTGCATTATCACTTACTTCTCCTAAAGTACTTCCTATAGCTTCTTCTTGACACTTGACACTTTATTACTCTCTGCACAGAGACTTTTCTGAAGATTTCACAAGAAAGATACAGAAGTGATAGATGAAATAAAAAAGGTATTTTTCCTATTTATTCTTCAATTGCTCATCTGGTATTTAAAATCTTTTGTAGAATATATAGTCTAGGAGCTTCTTCCTTTACTTATCTTCTACTTAGAAGAACAGAAGGAGTAATGCTTAAACTATAAAACTATAAAATAATTATGTAAAACCTCAAGCTTTGGCACTCGCTCTTGTCCCTGCCGATTTCCTTAACTGCCCATACTATTAGCTTTAACTATGGACAAAGCACAATCCATCTTTCTTCTCATCCTGTTTGCCCAGCCTATCACAAGCAGTCTCACAAATATTCAACTCTAAGTTACTTAGCCATTCCTACACTTGCTAGTCCTTCCAAATTCCACTGAAACTTCTTCCACATCTTCAAGATATTTTTCCTTTTATGACTAACAGCAGTTCTCATGCACTTGTTCTTACTTGATTGTATCTCTTCTCTCAAAAGACTTCTTTAAGTCCATACAAAAGTATTGGGTTTTTTTTAATTATTATTATTACTATTTTATTATGTACTCTTTCCTTCTAGGGTCTTCATTAAGACAAATTCAAGCTTCTAGGCTCGACTATCTTGTAACTTTGCTATCAGTTCAAGCATTTACATGGATCTACAGAAGCATCTACTTTTGACTTCTCTACAATATCAAGAGTACAGGAAGATTTCAGAGAGTCTATTCAACAGCATATTAGAAAAATACAAAAGCTCTACTCATTGTTCCCTCTGGCAAGCATCAGTGTTGCTTGGTTTTGAAATACTCAAATAGGTATAGTAGAGAAGTGAGCATGTCAGAACCTCAAAGCATACCTTTTAATTTTCATGATTTCAGCCACTTACCAAAGGAGAAACAGAGCAACTCAAGTAAACAGCTTTTTATTTAGATTTATTTCACATCATTTCTTAAACTCTATGATTTATAGATATTCTGTCTTCCCTTCTCAAAAGCCTCTTTGCCTTGTCCCATGAAACAACTTTTGGAGCTCACGCGCAAGACTTCAGTTTCTCCACATTCATGTTTCTTTACTAACATTTCCACACTCGTATCTCATGGGAAGCCAACTGATTTAAAAATAAGGCAGGCTTTACTTTCAAAGCGAACATCTAATATGGCTCCGACCACTTTACATCTATCTTAACACTGCAGTGGTAATTATGTTCTTTAACACTCCAGGGATTTTAAAAGAGAGTTACTAAAGAGAGATACTTAATTATAATAGCTGATGTGGCTAAAAGAGAAAAGCACACAGCAGCTTCAGCAAACCTCCAGCTGCACGCTCTGCATACCTAGTACGAAGCCTCTTTTCACAAAGTGTTAAGTACCCACCTCTGCTATCCCTAGCAGCAGCAGTGTGTACAAATAAGAAGTTCAAACTCCATGCAACTCGCCTTTAGCAACAGCCTGGTCTGTATTTTATAGATGACTTAAGTTTAGCAATAAATGACAACCTTGTTTTTCTCATATTCCTTGAGGAATAAACTCAAAAAGATGACAAATGAGCTTCAATAGAGATATCTTCTTC